AGGGAGTTTTAGGAAAAGGCTTTTCAATGTCACCTCCTTTTACCTATTGTCAGGCATTTTATAAACAATAAACCAGAGGCACAGTGGGGTTATGCAACATGCCCGCCTTTAGGCAGTTCCTTCCGACAGAATGCTCCATGGAATCCAGCTCTAGAAGTTATCTCACTACTACATAGTCAATGTGTCCACTTACCCACTGTCATAGGCTTGCTAATGTTAAGCCTGGGAGCATTTTTAGAACAGTAGCAATTTGGGGCAGCTCTCTGTGCTTGCCCTGGTCCAAATGGTACCTGCTGCCTTCTAATGGTTGCTGTAGAGAGACTCCATGCCTGCCCCAACTCTGCCCCTCTTCCAGGGGGTTGGCCCAGAAGTGGGCAAAAGGGCAATAACAGTGCAGGCTAGGGGATAGCTTAAACCTATTAGAAGCAGTGCTTATTTCTTACTAGTTAAAAAATAGTTAATATAAAATGAATGGAAACTACAGCAAAAAATTTAAGAATCACCTGTAATCTTACCGCCACAAGATAACCCCCATTTTTTTTGAATGCTTTTTCTTTGCCTATCAGATTTTTTCCACAACACGCATTTCATATTAAATGATAGATTTTTCCTTTTTTATTCAATATTATATCATAAACAATTTCCCAAGTCTGTAATTGCCTCATCTTTTTGTTTGTTCTGTTTCCTCAGTTCAGTCCTGACACATGAGTTTTGCTTTGCAATGCTCTGGTGATTCATCTGGCTATTCATTTTGCAATAGTTCTAACAAATAAAGGAGACTATGAGGACACCTTGAATAAAGACACTTAACTGAATCTGAAATGGCCACACTTGGTTGAATGAATGATGACCATGTCATCAAAATTTCAGCAGAAAGGAAATGGTAATAATAATTCAGTATGAATCCAGCACCTTAAGAGCTGAAAAGGTTTGGTTTCAACAATTTCTACCTATTTTTAATAGACACGTTGGAATGCATTTAGCTTCTTCTATGGCAAACATTTTAAAAACCACACCCACCCATAGAGATAATAATCAGCACCAGTAGCATAATCCTGGAAAAGGAGGAAAAAAATCTCTCTCTCTCTCTGTCTCTCTAAATTTGGAATTGGAAAATGCCGAGCATGGTAGGACATCCTGAAGTGTGAGGTGTTGTGGAGATGGAGTAGACATGGAGTTTCCCACCCAACAGCCATTCTTTTTTTTCTGACAGAATCTCAAATTTTCTATTCCAAACTCTGTCTATGATCTGAGCGTGTCTTTTATTTTAACTTGTAGACTATCCAAACCAGAATAATACTTCAGAAACACAGATTGGTTTTTAGGAATAAATATAGTTAATATTGATAGCATCCAACATATCAATATTTGCTCTAATGTGGGCCTTAGTGAGGTTCCTGTAGAAGTATTTAGTAAATAACTTTTATTTATTTATTTATTTGAGCGAGAGAATGAGAGAGAGAGCATGAGAGGGGGGAAGGGCAGAGGGAGAAGCAGACTCCCTGCTGATCAGAGACAACGATGTGGGACTCGATCCCAGGACTCCAGGATCTTGACCTGAGCCGAAGGCAGTCGCTTAACCAACTGAGCCACCCAGGCACCCTACTAAATAACTTTTAGCGAATTAAAGAGTATTTCAGCTCAGGAAATAACCTTGGCTGAAAGGAAAAACTATTAGCAAATTAATAATTTAGAGTCTTATTTATACTTTTCTTATTATAGTAGAATAATCCCTAACTAACCATAGATATTTAAAAATTTACTGGCCTTGCTTAAACTAGAAACTATTTAAGGTGTGTCCTCTCATGGGAAATTCCTGAGTGTGCAATTCATCACACTTGTAAGGCTCAGTCAATTATTTCATAGAATGTCAGTCTAGGAGGGGCCGTGGGCTTATATAAACTGAGAAGTAATTACCTTATGTAATAAAACTAAAGCAGGTCCCTAGCTAATGAATTTGCTAGTTGTTTTCCCAGTTTATAGACATTGACCCATATGAGACACAGTACATCGGCGCAAACACAGACAGACATATTCACTGAGTTAATTAGGGCACGCTAAATTGCTGTAGCAGATAGCCCCCAGAATGAAGTCATCCTAAGAAGTGGTAGCTCATTTCTGCCTCATAAGACAGTCTGGACACATGATCTAGGTTGGGAAGTGTCTCCTGCAGTGGGGGCATTTAGGAACCTAGGCAGACAGTTGCTCTATTACCTTCAAAATGTCACTGTCCTCATGGCCATCCAGCAGAAAGGCGGAAGAGAGAACAAGGAGAGGTATTGTTTGGTCTTGAGCAACACCCTCCAAGAAGCCCATTTCACTTCTGTTCACATTTCACTGGCTGCAGCTTAGTTACATGGTCACATCCGACTGCCACGTGACCTGGGAAATGGAGACCTACCATTCTGGGAGAGTGGATTCTGGTGGACGGCTTCTGACACGTATGCACGTATGTAGTGTAATGGAGCACCAGGCTGGCAAAGTCTCCCCGCTGGGTGACCCCATCTTCCCTGGTCTCTTCTCCATTCTCCCTACTGCAATTAGAATCATCTTGGCATAGCGCAAATGGGCTTGTCCTTCACCAACCACCTCCAAATCTCTTGAAACCTTTCAATAACTCCTCATTGTATTTCGGACAAAGACAAAACTCTTTATCCTGACATACAAGGCTCTGCATAATCCAATTTCCACTTACCTAAGCATTTTCAGATTTGGAAAATGCTCCCACTCATTTTCGAGGCCCAGGCCACACCCGCTGCCTTTCACAGTCTCTACTTCCTGTGTTCTCTTTTCACAGAGACTTCACACTTGCTGTTCCCTTGGTCTGAGAACTCTTTTTTCCCCTCTTTGCCTCATTAGTGCCTAGTGATCTTTTAAATGTGACTCTCCCAGTGGAACCTTCCTTGATTTGCTCATAATCCTCTAAATAAGCTCTCACTGCAGGAGTTTATCTTTTTTTTTTTATAGCATCCATTACAGTTATGCTTTTATAATTGCTTGTGTGACTGATTAAAATCTACCTCTCCTGATAGACTATAAACTCCATGAGGTCAGCAGTTACGCCTGTTTTAGCTTATATGTGCTCAGTGTCACTTCTTACCCCCAGAAGATACTTATTAAACATGTGTTGAACATAAGGAGGTTTGAATGAATGAATGAATGATCTGTATTCTAGTTTGGGTCCTGCCACAAATTAACTATGATCACCAAGTTTTCACTTGTCAGGGCTCACTTTCTTCATTGTGACAGGGTTGAATTAGATGATGTTCAAGACCTTCAGCACCATGGTCCTGTGGTCCTACTATTTGAAAATTGAATCCTGTGGGTCATAACGTTTGTCCAATCACTCAGTTACATTTCTTTAACATTTTTTAAATTTTTTAATTTTCTTAAATTTTATTTTATTATGTTATGTTAGTCACTATATAATACATCATTAGTTTTTGACTCTGAGAAACAAACTCAGTTACATTTCTTAAGCAGATGCAACAAGTTCTGGATCTGGCAAGGTAGAGTAAGAACACTTCTTATTGTTTCATTTTGAATTTCAGCACAAACGTTAACTATATCCTAACCCATGAAACCCAGTAACAACTGAAAAGGGGAATGGATAAGGTTCATGAAAAATAATAGTATCAGTTATTATGTAGAAAAAGATAAGGAAATAAAAGGCAGAAACATTTTGTTGATCACTGTAAGATTAACTTCTGTCTAGGGTCGGAAGATGAGCACTTTTATTCTGGTTGAATTTAAAACTTGGTTTTAGAAAGGTCATGTATTGACAATGCATTCATATAAAATTTCATCAGGATATGAACAGGGGCTTCCCCCCCCTTTTTTTTATTTTGAGATTGATATTTGATAAAAAAAAAATTAATATCCAGGCTTTTTTAGCCTTTTTCTGTGTGTGACATAATGGCAGGAGATCATTGCCATGCCCGATTTCAAGTTGTTGGATATCACTTATGTTTCATCTATCTAATCTATCATCTATCCTCTGTCTATTTAAAAACAGCATTTTCCATATTATGCCTATGTTATATAAGTCAAGGAATGCTCATTGAGAGAAGTCTTAGTAGGATCTAGAGGAAATTGACCTCTTTGAGAACAGCTTGAGAGACTGGGACCATTCTATAAATAGTTGATGTCTTTATTGAAGGTTAGCTGATAGACCATATTATATGTTATATTGCAGAGTTGGGTATTAAAAGGAACCCATATACCCTCTGCTTTTATGAGTAATGCACGTTTTTAGAAAGTATCAAAATCTACCACAGAACTGAGAAGGTAAGTTTAGGCCCAAGACTGAGGATGTTTGCAATTTCTCTAAAAATGGGATATATCAGTTTGACCTTCTTTATGAGCATTTCTTTTTCCTGCTAGTTTGCAAGATGGCTACATCTTATTTTTCATGTGTCACTAGGAAGGGAATGTCACTACAACAGTGGTGAAATTTAACTAGGGGCATCTTTCCTTCTAATTTTGTTTTGACTGAGATTCTTTAAGTTAATACATGATTTTTTAAAAGTTTGATATACAGAAAAATTGATCAGATAGTACAGAGACTTCCAGTATACTGTTTCCCTCCCTCCCCACAGTTTCTCCTATTATTACTAATTATTACTGTTATTATTAGTCTTGCATTAGTGTGGCACATTTGGTACAATTAATGAACCAATATTGATATATTTTTATTAAGTAAAGTTCATATTTGTATTTCTTTAGATACCCTTTTTCTGTTTCAGAATCACATCCAGGATTCCACATTTTATTAGTTGTCATGTGTCCTTAAGCTCCCTCTGGCTATGACATTTTCTCACACTTTCCTTGTTTTTGATGACCTTAATGTTTTTTTTTTTTTAAAGATTTTATTTATTTATTTGAGAGAGAAAGTGAGAGTCAGAGCAGGAATGGAGGGGGAGGGGCAGAGGGAGAAGAAAAACAGACTCCCCGCTGAGCAGGGAGCCTGATGCAATCTGGGGCTCGATCCCAGGACCCTGGGATCATGACCTGAGCCGAAGGCAGACGCTTAACTGACTGAGCAGTCACCCCTGACCTTGACAGTTTTTAGTACTACTGATCCGGTATGTTGTAGGCTCTTCTACTGGAATTTGCCTGATGTTTTTCTCATGATTAGTCTAGGGTTATGGGTTTTGGGGAGGAAAGTACTATTTTCATCAACTCATATCAAGTGTATATGCCATCGACATGATTTTTGACTATTGATGTTGATATTGATTATATGGAGGAAGTAGCATTTGTCAGGTCTCTTAACTGTAAGGTGCTCTCTACATACTGTATTCTTAGAAAAAAGTCACTATGCACAGCCCACACATAATGATGGCAGTTATGCTCCTCGTCTTTTGGAGTAGAGTATCTACATAATTTGTTTGAAATTCTTTTGCAAGAGAGATTTGGACCAAGATTTCTTTTAAGTAGATGGGCTTATTTGGGTTTTGGGCTATCCCAATAAGTATTTTGTGGTTGTAATTACGTATATATTTTTTAGATAAGGCAATACGACCATGGCAATGTGACAGAGTGGAAAAGGTACTAGATTCGGAATACGAGGGTCTGAGGTCGCAGAGCAGCCAGGTACTTCCCAGAAGTGAGACGTGGGTACACCTGTCTTCCCTGAGAGCTGCTTTGTGTGATCAGAGGTTCTACTTGGCAAGTCACTTTACTTGCTACCCTCACTGCCTGGAACAGATGTTCCCTGGTGTGGTCCATGGCTGGTTTCTCCTACCCTGGTCTCAGCTCGAAAGCCACCCCTTCCAAGCAGAGTTCTCAGAGCACCGCAGGTAAAAGTAGCTCTCCCACACCCCGGAACCTTCTATCCCAGGGCTTTGTATTAATTATTAGCATGATTTATTGTTATCTAAGATCCTCTTATTTCTTCCCTTGTTTATTATCTGCTTCTAGATTATAAACTTCATCAATTCCATGAACTCCAGCAAGTCAAGGACCTTATCTGTCTTATTTCCTTTGTCCTAGCTAGAAAGTGCCCTGAATATATTCAAAAGAACAAACAAACATCAAATGACCGTTGGAGACATCTGCACTGAACATTCTTTGAAGGTAAAAATTAAGTAAAATAACACAAAACTCTTTGGTGACTCAAACCAAGAGGAAAGATAAGCCAATCTCCACTGCTGGTACTTCCATGAAAAAAGGAGGGATCCTAAAAACAAAAGAGATTTTTAGTATTCTTTCTTTGTTTTGGAATTTGAATTCCAACAAGATGGTATTATTTTGACTTAGATTACTTTTTGCTTGGGAAACTTAAATTAATAGGTATTTTGGTTGCCACAAAGGAGTACTGACTTCTCTTATTTAACAAATCAATGTCCAGGAAAAAAAAAAAAAGACTTTGATGTCCAGAAGAGGGACGTCTTCCTGAGGCTCTCTGAAATTTGAGATGTCAGAAGTATTTTTCCTCTACAATTGTTGGGAAAAGGAGCACGTTTATTCTCTAGGGGAACTGAAGCATAATGAAATGCAATCTAAGAACATGCAAACTTATTATCTACCAGGATGGTTGAATGGTTCCAATCAAATGGAGGATAGAAATAGGGGCTTTATATTCGGATTTTGGAAAAATGACTCCACAGCTATATTTAGGCTCAACAGTGCCTACAAATACCTGAAATTGTGGCAGTCTGTGGCTTGTTCATAACATAATGAATATATTTTCCCTTTGAAACTTATCATGGAGGTGAGGAAAAAAGTGCCCCAAATTATTCCTGCAGATGGAAGAATGATATCTTACTGTGGATGCTAAGAGAAAGATTGCTGCTTGTCTAAGTAATAGGTTGGTATTGGTTTTTAACTGGCTCTTCAGAAGGCTGCCTCTGTGTCAAAGACTGCTTCGAGTAGGTGAACCTTGTGACTTGAAAAAGTCAAAATTTTTCTTTATTTCTCTCACTCGGAGGAATTGCTAAGAAGTCGAGCTTAGCATCATTAGCAGTAGGAATCCTTTTATGAAAATACTATTTTCTTTGTCTCCATGGATAGAAGTCCTAGCACCAGGGAGATGACATTTTAAAAAATATGAATCTGATGTCAATTGCTATTTAAAATTTATCAACAAGTTTCCATTGCTATTAGCTTAAAAATGAAATTCTGTAATGTGGTCTATGGGACCCTGCGAAAGCTTTGACTGTGTCTAAATTGTTCAGCCTCTCCTTGTGTCCCAGGGACTTTGCACTGTCTGAATTTCCTCTTCCTTCACCTTCTTCTGTCTAGTTAATTCTAGGTACCCCTTAGTTCCTAGCCCAAATGTCAAAACCAGTGGGACATGTCGTGACCTCCCAGACTCCTTTGTTCAATACTCTCATAATTCCTCAAAGCTTGTCCTTATCACAGTTAGTATTAACTATTTCCCCTACTAGATCATTAGGGCAGAGACCATGTCTGTTTGGCTCCCTACTCAATGCCCTGGTACATAGTAGGTACTCAATGCTATATACTGGATAATGAATAAATGAATGAATGAAAGGAGCAGAGTTATACTTTCCTTTCTTGCATAACTTTTCTGAATACTTAATATGCTAACAATAGTGTGTTCCTTTATTATAACTAATAACAAAAAAGAAAGACCAGTTTTCACTTTGTTTCATATTGACAATGAGATAGCTCAATGAAGATAAAGGTGAAGAATGTGGGTTTTATGATCATAGATACCTCAGTTCAAAACCTGTTTCTACCACTTACTGGCTGTGCGATCATGGGAAAAGTACCTAAAATTTTTCTGTGTTCCAGTTTCCTCATCTATAAAATAGGTCAGACCTGGGTTTAAAGCCCTGATCCATCAATTACTAATTGTGCAACTTGGTTCAAGTTAATAATTTCTCTAAGCTTCAGGCTCCATAACAGGTACAATCATACATGAGGCTAATAATACCTATCTTTCTCTGCCTTAGGGTTATTAGGAGGATTAACCACACACACACACACACACACACACATGCATTTGTTTATAAACATATAAACATTGCTCAATCTGTGTGGAGTAAGAAGATAAAAGCAAATTAACACAACAGTGTGACATTATGTTCTTCTTATCAGAATACCAAAGATAAAAAGTTGGCCAATGCTTGTTGGTAACAATGTAAAGAGAGATAGGTATTCTCATTTCAGTGTTGGTGAAATATCTTTGAAAGGCACTAAATTTGACCTAGAAATTTCCCTTCCTAGGAATTCATCCTACAGGTATAATCATACATGTTCATAAAAATGGCAATGTAGCGATGTGATAGTAAATTACTGGAAGCAATAAAAAGTTCATCAATAGGACTAGTTAAAAAAGTTATGGAATTGATAAAATGAAATACTGTATGGTTGTTAAAATGCATTGATAGGGAATTATCTCCAAAATATTTGATGAAAGGAGCAATGTAAAGAACAATGCAAATTATGTTAAAAATAAAAAGATCACTCTATACAAGCATCCAATTATTTAAATGGATAAAAAATACTTCTCCAAGAATTTACTGGGGGGGGGTGCCTGGGTGGCTCAGTTGGTTAAGCGACTGCCTTCGGCTCAGGTCATGATCCTGGAGTCCCTGGATCGAGTCCCTGGATCGAGTCCCGCATCGGGCCCCCTGCTCGGCAGGGAGCCTGCTTCTGCCTCTGACCCTCCCCCCTCTCATGTGCTCTCTCTCTCTCATTCTCTCTGTCTCAAATAAATAAATAAAATCTTAAAAAAAAAAAAGAATTTACTGGGGGGTGCGTGGGTAACTCACTCAGTTGAATGGCTGCCTTCAGCTTAGGTCATGATCCTAGGGTCCTGGGATCGAGCCCCGCATTGGGGTCCCTGCTCAGTGGGGAGTCTGCTTCTCCCTCTCCCTCTGCAGCTCCCCCTCTTGCGCTCTCTTTCTCTCTCTGTCAAATAAATAAATAAAATCTTAAAAAAAAAAGAATTTACTGGAAGCCATGGTTGCCTCATGGGGAGAGAAATGGGGGTACCCAGCTTCGGTGAAATTTATTTTTCATTGTCTACACTTTGTTGTTGTTGTCTTTAACTGAGTGTGTATATTCCTTTATCAACTCAAATTAAAAAGAAAAGGATTTTATTTATTTATTTATCAGAGAGATAAAGAGAGAGAGAGAGAGTATAAGCAGGGGGAACGGCAGGCAGAAGGTGAGGGAGAAGCAGTCTAAGAAGGGAACCTGATGTGGGACTCCATCTCAGGACTCTGAGATCATGACCTGAGCCGAAGGCAGACGCTTAACCGACTGAGCCACTGAGGCACTCCTAAACTGGAAACTTCTGGAAGGAACTCTCCCCTTCCTAGTAATGCTCTCCACTCTCAAATACTCTGAAGTTAAGAAATTTGGAAAGGACCTAGCTAGTAATTAATTTAATTTATCCAACCTGAAACAATCAGTTGGCAAATAGATATTTTTCTTCTAAAATCATATTTTAATAAAGGTATTTAAAGGCTTGAGATGTTTTCAATCATTCTACTGCAATATAATGGTTAATTTGAAGAGCTCTGTGAGTTTGATTTGTATTTAAGATTTTTACAATCTATATATAGGTTGGTCTTTAATAACCATTTATACATTGCTTCTTTTTATATAGGTCATGTATTCTCCTGGGAGAGTAACAAGATTAGAAATAACAAATGTAGTACAGAATAAATTAAAGTGCTTCAAACTGCATTATATAATTTCAGAAAATTAGTTTTACACTGAAACATTTAAATAAGAAAACCAAGTGATTTAAGGTGGGGGTGGGAACCATAGTGTATGCATTTTAATTGCTATTGTTAGCAAGTTTTATCCTTGGCAGTGTGGTATCTGTTCACAGGGCTCCAGTAATATGGCAGCTCACTGGGTCAATATGGATAAAATTATTATTATTTTTCCTTATTTAAAAATGTTGGCTTCACTCTCCCTGAAGATGAATAGCATTTATTAGTCAAAATGTCAAAGGGGTATCGTAAAAGTAATTGTATTTTTATATATAATTCTCCAAACTCTTGTGTACAAAATGTTCTTATTACACTTAGTGCCATAAATTTGGAGGCTGTTACGGGACAGGAGATAGCAAAATGGGGGCCAATACTTTTCTAATTAGTTAGGATAATAAAATGTGAGGCTTGGTTTTCCTCTCCCAACGAAATGAAGGAGATATGCTGCTCTGGAGAGTCGACTATTCTGGCTGGTTGTGTTTGTTTCTGTGAAGTTTAGCATCACTCTCCTTGTACTGAGTCCTCAGGCCTTTTTCAATTTTTCTATTCGTGCATTAAAGGCCTCTTCCTGTATTTGCAGCTTTTCGTTTATCGCGGTCTGTGAAGACAATCATAAAAAAGTGGTTATGATGGAGCTATCTTTTGCTGCACATTGTCTTTGTGGTTTTGACATACTATAGTGCCTAAAGACTGACATTATCCCTCACACACCTTCCTGTTTTGCAGACAGAGCCGTGTTTCAGCCTGTAGTGATGTGATAACACTTTATCATATTTCTCTGCACATTCCCGATGTATAGCATGGCTGCTATGAACAGGAAGTGGTATTTGGACAGCCATTTTTCACATAGCCTTGTGTTGGAAGATAGGATAATTTATCTGTATTTTCAGACGGACTTTACCAATAAGCACCGAATCAGAATAACTGCTCTGGGCTCAGTTAGTGCGGTGTTGTGTGTCCCCCCCACCCCTTTGCAATGATGTTTTTGTCTCCTGTGTAAATACATTCTAAACGGGATCTCAAAAAACTTCTGTTGTGAAATCACAACACAAATAATCTCACAACTAAAATAATTCTCATAATTAAGAATATTCATCAGACATTATAACTCTTGGAATTATGCCACTTTGTGGTATAGTTTGGGTAGAAAAAAAGTATGTGATTGCTGACAGGTTTTAGTGTTTGCCGCAGCTGTGATAGCATTTAGCCTCTGGCAGTGATATTCTCTGGGCTGACATTGCTACCCGCAAAATTCCAGAAATCCTTCCACGTTATCTGAACATTAGTAGTCCCGGAAATGTCTTCCTTTTTTTCATGATGGGTAATAAAATTATGTATAGAGAAGCCAGTGGTGAGCGATGTGGCAAAACTGGTGTTTTGTTTAGGTGATTTAAAAAACGTTTACGAGTGTATGAGGAGTAGTTTATACACATAACTATTAATAAGCAATTTGAAGTTTAGAATGTTAACGTCTATAACATAATTTGATGTCTTCGGGGTAACTGTATTTTGAGAAACTTCTGTTATTTCAATTTATACAGAATAAATTTAAAAAATCAAATACTGTTTTGGGCTACATACAAATTTTCATTCTTATTTATTTATTTATGAGTGTAACTAATAGATAGTTTTGAAGTGTACACTCTGGTTACCTTATCTGATGAGATTTTGTTTCACCTTCATGGTAAGAATCAATATTTCTGAAAAGATCACACTGGTGTCAACAATTCTGGATCCTTATGTGAGTACCCATCTTTTTGATTCAAGTTTTTTTTCATTGTTGTTTTTTAAAGATTTATTTATTTTAGAGAGAGAGAGCACGCATGCGTGAGGTGGGGCAGAGGGAGAGGGAGAGAATCTCAAGCAGACTCCCTGCTGAGCGCGGACCTGACATGGGGCTCCATCTCACCACCCCAAGATCCTAACCTGAGCTGAAATCAAGGATAGGACGCTTAACCAACTGAGTCACCCAGGCGCCCCTGGCTCAAGTTTTATCAAGCCCTAGATGAAGCTCTGGCCTCTGGCTTCTCATTTTTTTCATTTTTCCTTTCTTGGTGGTTGGGTGGAGGAGGCAAGGAAGAATGAACATCGTCCTCCAGGTTACAAAGGAACTCTGTCATTTTTCAGGAATCACTAATCCCCTTGGTCATGGTTTTAGTAGAGGTGGAAAGAACATTGGTCTAGGAGACGGAGACATAGGGATTAATTTAGTTATGTAGCCTTGGACAAGTCCCTGAGCCACTTTGGGGATTAGTTCTTATCTGAAAAATTAAGTAGTTAAAAATTAAGTATGTTAACATTATATGCTAACTTTTAAATTCATAATTCCAACTCTTAATTTTCTGATATATTCACCAATGTTATATTTCAGTAATACAGCCTTGTAGGAGATTTTTAAAATATGTTACTCTTGCTTCTTTCTGGCGTGCAACCTATTAGACCATAGAGGAATTGAAACGGTTTGAAGAAATAATCTTGTCACAATTCCAAAGAATTGAGAAGCACCGCTCTAACTAAACAGCCAATTCTTCCCACTTTCAATTAATGTGCTCAATGTCCACTAATAATTTCCTTTCTTTCAACCAAGGACGCAGCTACTATCATCTACCAGCTTCTGTTTCATGGTGTCACCAGTGTTTGCACATTAACTTGGAGACCTTTCTGGTATTTCACTGAGACAAAATTCATCGACACAGGTGTGGGCTTGCGGGAGAAAGTTCGTGAGGGTAAGGTGCATGCCGAATAGCGTTGGGTGCTGACAGGAGAGCTACATTTCAGATCTCTAGCCTGTGGTGATCAGTACTTCGGTTCAGACCCAACCAGCAGAACCTGGACGAAAAGCCTCCTGCTCTGGACAAGAACGAGGTTGTCATTAGTCTACCATGTCTCCTTGTTATTCCTCGGAACACTGCTGAGCAGATTAGCTATCCCACCAACCACTAGCGTAGGAAAAGTTTCTATTGCCTTTAAGGGAAGAATGGAAAACCCATGACCTGGGCTCAATAGCCTCTCACTGACCACTACCTTGAGGTATTCTCCCACTCAGATTTTCTTTTCTTTTTTTTTTTTTAAAGATTTATTTATTTTTTTGCAACAGAATGAGAGAGAGAGAGCACATGAGAGGGGGGAGGGGCAGAGGGAGAAGCAGACTCCCCGCCGAGCAGGGAGCCCGATGCGGGACTCGATCCAAGGACTCCAGGATCATGACCTGAGCCGAAGGCAGACGCCCAACCAACTGAGCCACCCAGGCGCCCCCCACTCAGCTTTTCTAACCTGGAATTTCAAGTTGACCTAAAAATACCTAGTCCTAAGATGGCAAACTTCCCTCAAGGTTTTTACATTATTTTACCCTGTTGCTTAGGGCCAACAGCCAGCATTTAATGTAAGAATGTAGTGTTAGTATTCATATTTTTCTGAAACGTAATTCTTTAAATATATTAAAGTTTGCTCCATTGGGTATAATTTTATTATACAACTCAGGGCCAAAATAATTTCATTTTGAATGTATCTTTAAAATTAAAATACCTAAACTATATAAGCTTAAAATGTTTGCTCTATCCAGTATAATTTTAATTAATATCTCAGGGCCAAGATAACTTCATTCTTAATAAATCTCTAGAACTATAAAGTTTGTCAATGGGAAAGTAAGTGGATTAACATAAAAAATTTAAAGATTCACACTACATTCTCTGAAATTTCTGAATTATAGAAAGGGAAAAATGCCTGAAACCACGCTGGAGAAGGAGCTCTAAAAACTGTATTCAAAACATGAATTCTCTACTGCCTTTTCCTCCAAAAATTATAATAACAGCATGGCTCTTAAATAAAGGAGAAAAAAAAAACTATTGGAAAATTGAAAACATCTTGCAAAAACTAACTCATTAAATGGTCCTACAGCAAGTCAGCGTGTTCCTACACTGACCACTGACATGTGGCTACCTTTGAACAGGGATGCTGTAGTTTTAAGAGCCAGCAACATTGGAAGGCAGGGTTTAGAAGGGGAAAATAACTCACCTATCTAAAACAGGGGAAAAAATTTAGGTAGGCAGAGAGTAATTAAACTTGGGACTTGACCAAGACACAAGGGTAAGCACTGAAATCGTGCCATACCACCGGAGTATTAAAGTCCAAAGTAGTCTGGTCGTGATATTAGAGGTTGTGTGGTTTTTGCGGATAACACTGGGATTGGAACGAGAATCCAGGTCACAGCTCCCATTCAGGGTCTTTCAACAGTTTCTGACCCTGGAAACACTGGATAAATGATTTAGTCTTTCCGTGTCTATCATTTTTCAATTTATTTATCAGGGAAGTGCCTGGCTCATTCTCATGTAGTTTACCAGGACTATTGAGAGAAAAGACATAAAGGGGTTTGCTAGAACTTGAGACATTGTATAAATCCACATCACCAAGCCATTTTATTGAAAAATTGGCAGTAATTTGGCCCAGACTAATGTCCATGAATCCACTTAAAATGGAAATGATTGTGGCACCTAAAGGATCTCCATCCCCCACCTCTGGTCCAAGTCCTTTCTATGCCTAATTGCATTTAGACGAACAAGCTAATGAACTTCCAGCCGCAGCAAGGTTGGCTTTAGGCCAAAGGGACAATAACACACATATACAGCAATCATATTCTTTCTGTTATAGAGTAGTGGTATAAATGTTGCAAACTCTAACAGTAAAAAAAAAAAAAAAATTCAATGAACAGTTAAAAATACACTGCTCACTACATGGAACATGGCCTTGGTAAAGATGTTTTCAATTTTGGGGGCCTGCAAACAATTCTATTACTGTCTAGTAGTTCCTCAGCAATAATTTCAGAGCTGCCGGTTGGCAAAGGAGCCCAGGGCCATGATTATACATAAACTATATTTAGATGAAATGTTATCAAATCTAAAAAGGAGATATGTTCTGAACTCAGTTTAATTCAACTGCACTCTGCCCTTCCACACAGTAACCAGTTATTACATTCATGGGATTGTTAACAATAAAGCTTTGTGTAAAACGTGTTCTACCACTATTTCTGGTAAACACTAAACACCCCTTATTAAGCTGAGGACTTTGGCTGATTCTGTTGGTATCAAATCATTAAATGTTATATAAATAGTGCATTAAAGTTTGATGATTAGACAAGTAACAAGGTATGCTTATGCCAAGCTAATCTTTTGCTCTTTCTAAATTAGTTGTTAATATAGTGTGCTTTTTATATATCATCTTATGTTCAGATAACAATTAAATCTTTCCCTGAGATGCATTAATATTTTAAACATGTAGTTTGTTGTTCTATTGATTCATGGTCATTTCTACAAGAAATTGTAAATCTTCTTAAAGTATGCAATTCACTTATTTAACCATTTTGCCTGAAAAATGATGCAAATCTTTGTGTTGAGGTAGAGATGGGTTTTTGTTTTGTTTTGTTTTGACAGGAAAGAAAGGTTAGACATAAAGTTAAGCTGACTGATCCCTGAGTGGCAGTTGCTACCGGGATGGCTATCCCATCACCATTTCCAGGTAGCCTTTGGTGTATATTGCTTAGCTATTAGTGGTACATAAAAAGGAACAAACTCTCCGAGAGGGAGTTCAAGGATTTGAAGGCCTCTCTTTAGAAATTTGGTGGGAAGACTTACCTAAGAATTATGGTTGATCTTCTGTGTTTGCTGTTAGAAAGGTACTCCATTTACTCTTGCATGAGCCATGTTTACAGTATGATGGGCACGAAGTTTTTACCGTTTTACTTTTTGGGTTTTGATGACGGATGATTGTGGAAACTGACAACACATCCTACTCTAGGTGCTGTTGGGGAACCTGTTTCGTGTGATCTTATTGAGTCTCAGATGACTCAACTGTGAATTACGGGGAGATGTGAAATTGAAGTCCTCCATCATAAGCATCACTCTTGCTGGCAGAGTGTGGGTAGTGTTTACAGACATTAAGGCTCAGGTTGGCTAATTAACCAGTAATAATAAAGTAAGTGAGCACACTATCAAGGCTGAGTACCTGAATGCCAATTAAAATATCATCTGTGACTTGATCCAGAACTGCTTTTATATCTTTGATGGTGAAACCCACTAAAGGATCCACGTTGGAAGTGTTGGCTTCTGACTGGGATTCCTCAGGGCCTTGTTCTTGATCCAATCCCTGGAATATTAAAAATAAAGAACACTCAGGTGACTTCTGGAACGTTCAGTGATTTATATGTAACCTAAAACTTCCCCTGGGTACTTTTTTACAAGGAATGATGTTGGTCTGGAAGATTTTGATTGGATGTTATCCTGCATTTCTGTTATTCATGAGCATCAAGACAGATCAAGTCATGGTGCTGCTAATCAGTGCTTACTCTGAGGAAAGTGGAAGTGGAGAGATTGAAATTGCTGAGCCATCCTCAGCTGGCCCACCAGCAAGTCAACCCTAAAAGAAATATTTATACTGAACTGGGGAAAATCAGAGGGAAAGAAAATGGAAGAGCATTTGGTTTTTTCCCTCCTGCCCATAGAGAATAAAATGCTGAGACAAGGTGAATTAAGAGACAGAAGGAAACCTACCTTCATTTCTGTATCCAATGTTGGAGGTGGCTCTATGAATGTTGAATAAATATCAAATGAGATTCCTTCTTCTAGAGGATCCGGAAAGAGACCACGTGAAGCCTTGACAACCTCTAACACTTGCTGGAGGGGAAGAAAAGAGCTGTATCATGGTGACTAACCACAATTTCAGCCAATTCATTCATTTCTCTTTCTATATTGTAATGAATATATAGGATATAATACACAGCACATATTATATAACATATATCATACAACCTATTATCAATTAAATTAATTAAAATTATATGATAATATATAATTGTGTATAATTAATGTGCATATAATTTTATATAAGTGTGCATATGCATATATATAGTGCCAAGTCTATTATATTTTAAGTGCTATTTCCTCTGAATGCTTGATACCACTGCCCTCTTAGTTCTCTTTTGCTTTTTGCTCTCTGTATCTCTGTATCTGATAATTAGCATTTTATTCTTCCCACTGTCTTATTCTCTTTCTATACTGTGTGGCTTAGGACTTCATTTTTTAAAAAATTTTTTATTTTATGTTAATCACCATCCATTACATCATTAGTTTTTGATGTAGTGTTCCATGATTCATTGTTTGTGTATAAAGGACTTCATTTTATACTGTCTTGATCTTTAAATGTTTTATGTGTCAGTGTTCCCTTCCTGTTGCCTACAAACTCTCTGTAGGTAGAGACTGTGCTTTAGATCCTCCGTATACCTTCTCCAGTTCTGGCAGAGTTTGGGTGCTTGAAACATTCACCAACAGCCTAATTGTGATCAATGTTACTCAGCAGAGTGTGGCCATTCTTGGGGGCAATGGCAAAGTGGCCACCGAGAACTTGGTGATGAGGACAATAAAGACTCTGAAGGTTAATGCATAAAGCCAGTACACTATGAATCAGAGAGGAGATCTGCAAAACCAACCAAAAACACAGAGGGTGAGGCAAGACCTCACCGTGAGCACTTCAGAATTTTGTAGCAAGTGTGTAAATCTGAGGGAGGGCGATGGTTGGTCAACACTGGAAATGAAGAAACGGGAGTCAAGTCAACTTAAGCAGTGTCCATCCCACTGTGACTTGAAGGTGAGAAAGAGAGGAGGGTACTGATTACAGCAAACATCTGAATCATTTAATTAGTTCCTCTTGTTCTGATTCTGTGTTTAACAAGCAACATCTTGATCATAATTTGACTTCCCATCTCCATTGATCTATAAAGATGTACCCTGCTCAGTGCTTTGATCTTCATGCCTATTGCATTCCTCACTGTGCATCGGTATGTTGATGTTCTCATTTATACAGTGAGCTTGCTTTTGAGGCCCAGAGGTGAAGCCACCCACCATGTGCTGACAAAGACAGACCCTGAACATACATGTTTAAAGACAAAACTCTGGAAATGCATAAAATCACCAGCTAATTACCATCCTCCGGGACTTGGAAAAACCTGAAATCATCATCCATTCGTTTCTAACTTCTCCACAATATTTCAAGTTAACTTACCTGTTAAACATGTGGTCATGTATAACTTATAGGTTGTAATGTTTCATCGTTTGAATATTAATAATGTTTTCTTATTTAGATAGGTTTGGGAATGTCCTGAAAGCTCAAGCTATTGCTTGGTCATCCCAGTGTATTTTGCATTGAATTCATATTATTAACTTTAATTCGATTTTATAGGAAGCTGCTGCTTAGTATAAATATAGAGAAGAACTGAAGTGTTAGGACTCTGTAGTCAACACAATTTGGAAACCAAGTGATTAAATGGTTGGCTTAAGGTCAAATCATCACTTAGTGCCCGGGCTGGGAGTTAAACCCTGCTGTGCCAACTTCTTGTCCTGGGCAGTTTTCAGTATCCATGTCATCATGTTGCCATACTTGGAAATTATTACTATTAATCACTTAATCTCTATTCTGTTAGGTGACATCATTCCAGATCGTTCTTCTTAAGTTGACTAAATGTTAATCAAAATAGAATCTAAAAAAATATATATAAGAACAATTCTTTTCTGTCATCATATTCATGTCATTTTTTCCCCTAAATGGGACATACAAACATTTTCTTCTTCCCACAAAACTATTTGTACCTTTTTTCATCATGCTTGTTTTTCATCCTCCCACACCTTATATTGCTCTTTATTTTACCAAGCTAGGAAAATGAAACAGCTAAATATAATTTAGTGTCCTTTGCAACATTATCAGTAAAATAAATAAGCTGCACATGGGAATCTAGAGACGAGGGCAGATGATGAGTGGTATAGACTTTCACAGAGGGTGAGGAATAGGAATTTGGGGGAAGTGGTGCTGAGTTAGCCATTGGAAAGCAGAGAGAAAGGAACCCAATAGGGTTTACTGCATTTACCGTAGACCCAGAGAAAGAAAGCATGAGCAAATCTTCAAGGTAAAATATTTCTTTTAATGAAGCAGAATTTTATTTTGTTGCTCTTGCCAAATTTGTCTTGCAACTCTGCTTTTCTACACACAGGCTATTTCTGCAAATTGTTTCTGTGCCCTTGGTGGAAGTTCACAGCAGATGGCCTCCACGTCCTGGTGGTAGCCGATTCCCCCCGCCTCCCCTTGTGCCCTTTTTTCCATCGGATCATACACATGAGTGCAAGCAGATATTTGTGTGCAAGTTTCGTCCCTCACACCTCTGTGGTCCACGTTTCTTTACAAGGCTCATCTGAACTACTTGCCAACTATCCACTTTTCCTGGTCTTTGGCATTGGTTGTGTGTGTGTGTGTGTGTGTGTACTGGGCACATACTCGGGAACTTGGACCACTCCCAGACCCACATTATTATTATTTTTTTTGATGGAGTGAAACTCCTGTTTATCCCAAGAATCTCTTTTGCTTGATTTTTATGAATATAGCTCATAGCTCATACAGGTATTCATTTGATTTAATTCCTGCACAAAAACTGGGGGTGAGAATTTCTTCAGAGTGTTTTGCATACTATCAGTGAACCAGATCATAGCTACATTTTTCTCTTTCACAGAGAGTTACATTTGGCTTTGTTACTAAGATACTACAAAGGAAAGAAATGTCCCAGTTTCAGATGGGGGTAAATATAAAGTCATCTCATTAATAATAAGAAGGCATACTGTCAAATATACAGTTTGAAATAAACCTAGTGCCAGAAGCATCATAGTGATTTTTCCCCCCATTAAGTAATCTTTTTAAAAAACAAGTTTAAGGAAAATTAGAATCAATAATTGTGGTGAGAGCACAGAGCCAGCAAATATGTTTAAATGAAACCGTCTGATGCAATACTTTCTTAAAAAATACAATTAGGCCTTTGTATTTTTTTAACAAAACCTCATGTTTTACAACATCACTGGTTCTGTAATAAAATCTATTTAAAACAGAAAGACATGGTCAGCTTTATTAAGTTAGATTTTCTGAAAGAACGTTATAATTTCCTCAAGTCTATGAATAGTTGGGGCAAATTAAATAAAGCTAGTTTTATAACTATTTTATACATTCCTGTAGCATTGTAATTGTCTCATATTTTTTTCCTCAAAAGTCTAATATGTTACCTCTTAAACCTAGGAAAATAAAAACAGAAAAAGGATCAAGTATGTTTATTAAAAAAATGCTCCTATTTCGTACCCTGATTTAGCAAGCACCCTTTCTTCTTCTCTAAGAGAATAGCACCCATAATCTTCAGATCAGGAAACAAAGGAAAAGACTTTAAGTGACTTGCCTGAGGCCTAATGCTGAGATTAAAAATCAGGAGTTTCTGATTATACACATACATCCATTTGGCCAAATGATTGGTTTTGCTTGACTTTCAAATACCCCCTAAATATTACTTTGAATGTAAAGCAATAAATGTGTTTCTCTTGCCATTTTTGAATGCTTGCACACAAATGGATATAATAAAAACAATCATGTTGTTCCATGTGAATGCCATTTATATTTTTTCTGATAATGAGCAGACCATTTGAACCAAGGTGAGTACATTAAAAGCTCTAATAAAGAAGAGAATAGATTTCTAAACAGAATAATGGACTGTTAAGTGAACATACAATAAATAACTTCTACAGATGTGGTCGCTAGAAAATTAGTTTTGCATAACTTACCAATATACATTTCCCCCAGATGTTATCTGTTACATGAAAATTAACTTAAGTTAGCTATATTGTTCATTACGTGCACACTGCATTAGTGTTATTTAAGATGGTTTACAATCTAAGCTTTAGTTGAATTGTGCTATGGTATTTAAAGAATATCAAGTAAATGGCTTTTTGGTATAATTTAATACTCATAAGTACAAAATTTCATCACTAAAATATTCTGTAGGTTTTAAAAAATCCAAGATCTTTACAAGCCAAATGAAATCACTAGAATACTTTTAAGATGTTACATATTCAATATAAAATGGACATTTATCATGGGAATAAGTGATAGGAATTTTGAGTCCTCCTGGAACTAAGTACAGGGTCAGTGTAGGTTTGAAGAATGCTTATAGGAATTAGAATCTGCTTCGGATCTTACTGTGTCTGAGAAGAAGTATAAAAATTATATCTGAAAATTGTGTTACTTCATGCTTTCTTTTTCTATTTTATGTGTTAGTATTATTGATAGTACAAACTCTGGCTTACTGTTTTTGTTATTGTGTTGTTTTTTAAATGTTTTTTTTTTGTTACTTATTTTTTTATTGTTTTTCTTTGGAAAAACTTGTGGATGGATTTGTGGGTAGTGGTTGTACTGAAGACATCTATGATCAAGGTGGCAATTACTAAATGATTAAATCCAATTATTAAAATATTCAAGATATTAAAACATGCCATTGAAATGACAACTCACCATTGTTTTGAATAGCAGAAAGCAAGATAAATCCGTTAAAACTTTTTTGGAGCGATAGAAATACATACAAGAAACTGGTATGCTTTAAAAAGACATTTGTTTCAAATTGTCAGATGATGACTTCATATGTAAATCAAAACTTACTATAAAATGTGAAAGTTTCAAAAAGCAAACTTTATTGCAAACATTTCCCAATACTAACTAAGGAAAAAAGGCACAAAAATTCCTGTAATGTTTTAACTATTTTCTCCCCTTGAAAAAAGGCATTACTCATTTGCAAGTCTAATGAAGAGGTACATGTGTGGTT